TGACCCCTAGTTGAACCCATGATCCCGTGACCCTTTACCTTCCGAGTCGATGGCCTAGCCGAGTTTTTCAACATTGATAAATGGAAAAAGTGTTTGTCATTTTAAATGACACAACTTGTGTCATTTCACTCTCACAAAGAGGTGGGATTCACACCTTTATTTTTTTGTCCCCTCTCTCTTCTCCTTTATCCATCTCTTTCTCTCACTTAAAATGACACAACTTTACATCATTTAAAATGATACACACTTTTCTCTTGATAAATTGACATAATATTATCTCACCCAATGTTGTCAAACTCGAGTTTCTACGCAGAAACAGAAAGGGATAATAGAAACGTAAAACGTAGAAACGACACGAAACGTAAAGTTTGTACTTTCTACTACTTAAGGTTCAGATACAAAATTATATATATGCATGTAAAAAAAATATTACATAATGAACATGTGTGTTGAGCCACTTATCTATCTAAAAAGGAAAATTATTTTTGATAACCAAATATCAAAATTATAAACAGTGATAACTGTAAGAACCCGCACCGTTAATTAAGGAAGTTAATTAATTAATTATGTGAAATTAGGAAATAATTCCATAATTGACCCTAATAATTATTATGAGGCTTAAATAATTATAGAAAGTGGTTAATAATGCTGAAAGTCGCTTTTCGGACGAAAAGCGCAGATACCGGTTCTGCTAGTCGGTATAAATGCGTACCAAAAAAGTATCCCGGAAAATTATAATAAGTGCATGATAATTCCTAGAATAATATATAGGACTTGTAAAACGAGTTTCAAGTTAAAATAATGAGAACTGTTGCCAGAAACTGATACTAGCTATGAAAAGCGCGTACCGGAAAAGGTGCTGCGAAAAATATAAGAAAAATATGATAATTCTTGTAAAATTGAGTAGGTTAAGAATCCTAAGTTTGAGATTAAAATACTAAGTGTAGCAATTAATGTTAATACTGTGTGTTTAAAGGCTTAAGTGGCTATATATACGCATGTTAGCACAAAACCCTATGCATCTCTTTCATGCTACGTGACTTGTTGAGGGTGGCTGACCAGAATACTGTTCCATTGGCCTTCTTCACCTTTTCTTGGGCAAGTTGGCATCTTTTGCATTGATCCTTCTCTTTTCTTCTTATAAACACTTGAGAACTATCATTGTGAGGGTGTGAGGGTGCATTTCCTGAGTCTTTTGCCACTGTTTGAAGTCAGTTTGAGTGCTGAGTTTGAAGTTTGGGTTGAGAACCATCTTGTTCTTGGCTTGTGAAGCTTCAAGAAACTTCCTTTGGGTAGAAAGGTCCAAGCTTGTGTTGTCATTTTCGTTTTTGGCAGAGTCAGAACTGTGAGGAGCCATTGGTGAGCTCCAAGAGCATTCCTTCCTCTGTTTTCCAGCTTGGGTAAGTGGTTGAACCTTTGAACTTGAGTTTAAGTGGTTAAAAATGGAACCTTGATGCATGTAACAAGCTAAGGTAATAACCTAACGTTGGGTAATGCTTAACGCACTTGAAATGCATGTTTAAGCTTCTGTAATCGGTAAAAGTTGGACCTTTGGTTTGGATTTGCAGAATCTGGGTTCTGTCGCAAAATATCCGGATATTTTGTTGTGAATATCCGGATATGGGGATCTGAATATCCGGAGATATTGGAAGAGAGATATCCGGATATTGATATCCGGATATGCCCCCGACGAATATCCGGATATTCTGGGATTTCGAAGAACAGTAGCTGCACTGCTCATGCAGTGGGCTATTGGGGTTTGTGGACCCTAGATTGTTGAAGTTGAACTTCTGTTTTAATTGAACTAAGTCAGAATCAAGTGATTAAGGGCTTATGGCTTTGTATGAAGTCTTAAGACGTAAAACGTGAAAGAAAAGGCGTTGTCTTTTGTTGAATGCTTGTAGAGTATGATTTTGATATATTATTGGTCCATAACAGATTGTGATACTGCTGTGTTTGGACTTTGAGATTGTGTGGACTCTTGGCTGGGATAGCTAGCTTGCAAGGTAAGCTTTCGTGTCCTCGGTTTAACTATGTTATGGTTCCACCATGTCCCATGGGAATATGGTTTTATGCATGTTGTGTTACATGCTTTGATATATATTGAAATGCTTTTGAGCTTATATTTGCAATGACTTATGATATGTATGTGGTGTTCACCCGATGGGATGGTATCCCAAGGGTAGGTACGGCAGGGCGCGTACTGTGTGGGTAATAGACGTATTCCTACATTTCTCTGGCCAGTAGATTATTGTATTAACACACATGACATGATTATCTGCTGCATTGCACTATTTTGGAAAATGATATTGTCGAACTTCTTTTGAACTTATATTGCACATGTAAGTGAGCTTGGGGTGGAAGATCTTTGAGGACCCCTTGTCTTACTGAAATTTCTGGTTTAGAGATCTCACATCACGTTTGGGGAATGCTTATTTCAGGTTCAGGTAGTATGGAGGCTGATGCCTCTGGCTGCAGGAGGCCAGAGCTTAGTTGATGATATTGCTGTTTATTATGCTGACATGTTGGATGCTGGATATTCTGCTGATGTTATGTTTTTAGTTGCTTATTATTATGCTGTTGATGTTGAGACTTATGTTGGGCTTGATGCCTTATTTGGGTGAGCATGGCGTTTGTCCATGCCACTTTATGTTAGTACCTTGAGTTGTATAACTTAGTAGGTTGTCCGGTCTACGTGTTGTAGTTCCGTGACTAGAGACTTATATATGTTATTTTAATTAATGAGGCATTTCAGTTAGCTGTCTTGTGCAATTTACATACAGGCATAGTTTTATTTAATTGATTAATTAAGCAAGTGAGTAATGTTAATGAGTTATAATTAGAAAGAAAAAGATATTCCGCATTTTTAATTAAGCGTAGCTTAATACGATGATATGATAATATTACCGGATATATACGGGGTGTTACAATAACTAACAAATAATGGATAACCAATCTGCTCTAACTGCTTCTTACATTCTGTAGATTTTGGATCATCGCTCATTAGGATATAATTTCACTTCTTTTAATGCACACAATGATCCAAAAACACAAAATAATTTTCATAGCATAACTTATAATAGAATTGCAGCTTTATAAGACATAATTACAAAAGACCTATATCCAAACAAAAAGATATCAAGATACTATACATATGATTTGGGGAAAACGAACATTGGTTTTTTTTTTTTTTTTATTTCATTTTTTGTAAATCGTTTTTTTTTTTAATTTTTTTCGTTTTAAGTAAAAACGGTCAAAACGTAAGTTTTTATCGTTTTTACGCTTTTACTCGGCGTTTTTACTAGTTTTTACCAAGGACCATTTTTACTTGCGTTTTAACACTCATCACTCTAGTAAAAACATAAATTTTTACGTTTTTACACTAGTTTTTGACAACAATGATCTCACCCGTTAAGATATTATATAAGTAATAGAGAATAATTTAATTACGTAATCCTCATGTCGTGTCAATAACACAAACGTCCCGTGAATATTTAATTACGCATGCAACTTCTTTCAGCAAAAACATATTTAGTTAGTTATTATTATTGAGCGTCAAACACACAAACATCACGTGATTATTAAAGGAATATTAAATTTATGATCATTTTCTAAGAAAATCTGATATTTAAAGTAGATATTTTATCTGTAACCAAAAAAAGAAGTAGATATTTTATCACTTTTTGATATCGGATTTTTTTTTGAAGTGCTTTTGATATATATATATATATATAAATCTTAATACTAACTTAAATAAAATATAATTATAATTAGATAAATAATTATATATTACTGTATCTATAAATGACTAAAACTAAATTAATGTTGAAATAATATTTCTCATATTACAGGAGATAAATTTTATCTAGTATATACACATAAAAGTACGTCGGACTCGTATTTTCTTTTATTTCTCGCTTCTTCTCACATGGGTCTCACACATTTTTGTGTATATGGAGATAAAATTACCTCCTACTACATAAAAAACATTAATCTAAACTAAGAAACGTCAAATCTTTATTTTAATATAAAATTGAATTCTATATTCATATGATATATTTGTACCAATGGACCATTTTTTCTTACGGGGAGATTATGCTTACTATCTTTTTTCTTATTATCTCTTACTATTAACTTTATTATCGTTGGATTAAAATAAAATTAACGGTTACAAAATAATAAAAAAAAATAGTGGTACATATAACTTATCTATTAGAGAAGTATATTAACCATTGATGAACCTTCACTTAACAACTTAAACTTTTGTATTAAATTATTTTTTTACATGGTATGAAAATTTCATTGACCATAAGGCCACGAGTTCGATCCTTGCTGCTGCTGTCCATTTTGTGTGTGAGAATTTCTTAGTACAGATAGGTTGTACTTGATACATAATCAACTTTTTAAACTCAATGAGCTCTCTTGTGAGAAGACATGTTAGAGAAATATATTAACCATTAATGAACCTTTACTTAACAGAGTTGAATTGACTATTTATAATATCACTTTCTTTATATATATAATTAAAATTAAAAAAAGTTTAACGTTTTTGTTTTTTTTTTATAATTTTTTTCTTTATTATCTTCACATAAAAATAAGTGAATATCATTGTAAAGAGAAAAAAAAAATTGTTAATCAAACTCATTGATTTTTATATAACTGCGACTGATAAAATTTGTCTATAAAAACAAAAAAACAAAAATTTCCCCAATTAAAAAATGGCAAGCTTTATTTAAAAGGAGAATATGGATTTATCGTGGCAACAAGGGATTTGCCAAAACACATTCCCTCCAAACGCAATCTATAATCTCATCTCTTCCAAAAACAAGGAAATCCAGATAACAATGGAATCCACTCTATTAACCAATCACCAACTCCCACTTGTCGAAACAGCCAACATGTCACATCATCCATTCATGGGTCAGTGTCCCTTCTCAAACAAAAAGTCTTTGGTCACTTTTCTTCTCCCCCCCCCCTCTCTCTCTCTCTCTCTCTCTCACTCTCACACACACACACTTAGAAGCAGAAATCTGAAATTACACAACATAGTGTGTGTGTGTGCATGATGTGCGACAAGAATAGTCCTCCTCCAACTGCAAAAACAAACTCTATTATGAAGAAGAAGAATAAGAAGACACAAAAAAGGACTAAAGAGTCTTCTTCTTCAACTTCTTCTTCTTCCACATCATCTTCTCTTAAACCACATCGACGCAGAAACAGAACAAAAACGAGAAAACCCAAGTTCCTTAGTCTTCGTCTTCAACTATCTCAAAACGAGAACAAACCCAAGAAAATGACTCATCAACAACACCAACAACCCAAAACAGAGCAACAACAACAACCACAGTTGAACCTCTTCCCTCTTCACCCTGAAAACATGGTTGAGGACAAGGACATGCACGAAGAGAACAACGTGGCTTTGCTCTTCAGCTCCGACGGCGGCGCCACCCTCAACGGCTTGCTCGAAGATGAATCAACCACCACAACCACGGCCACCACGACGTCGGAGGAGGGATCCTTCTCGCCGCTGACGTGTCCGTCGTTGAACGGCGGCGACAATGGAAGCTGGCTGGTGAGGAAGGCGATGAGGAGGAGGAGCATAGAGAGGGATAATGAGGGGAGTGAAGAGAGGTGGGTGTGTTACTCGGAGGTGGTGGAGAAAAAGGAGCTCATGGAGGAAGTGACCAGTTATTGCGGCGGCGCCACCATGGTGACCGCCACGGAGGACCCGTTGTTTTGTGTTGGTGGTGGGAAAGGGATGACGACGTCGTTTGGGTTATTGTCATTGAAGCTGGATCACGAGGAGATATTGAATGCTTGGTCGGACAAAGGTTCTCTTTACGTCGCAGAGGAGGAGGCCCCACAAACTGTCCCTGATTTGCTCAATGGTGTCCTTCTTCCCAATGTAATTTTCACTTCACTCTCTATTTTTTTTTTTAATTTTTAATTTTTTGTTTTTATGAATATTTTATTTTTTATATCCAAATCGGTAAAGCTTACAAGCTCCTTCACTTGACTAAATGGTTGTTTTGCGTTTACATGAATAATTTATTAGTTATGTGAATGGGTCATAATTAGATTGCATCATGGATTTGTTCATAAGATTTTGTGGTTGTGTGTCTGTCCGTGTGTATATGGGTGTGTGTAAGAGAGACAGAGAGAGAGAGAGAGAGAGTTTATTTAATTATTTGTGTTCAGGAATGAGGAATGTTGTATAATGAAACTGGATTAAAATCTTATTTATTCATATATGGATCAATGTTTACAATTTTAAAATAAGGGTTTAATGTTAAAATAACTTTGTCGGTAGAACCCACATTTCTCTTTCTTTCCCTTCTTCTGGTAGGGTCCTGCCCTTTTAATAATGACTGAAAAGAAAAAAATGGTTATTTTAATGATGACCGTTGATCAGTATAATAATATTAAAACAGTACATAAAAAGTATCCATTCCCATCTATTTCATATCAATAATATTTTTTGGTAGGGGTGACTAGGATATTCATAAAACATTGGGGGTATATTATTATATGGTTTTATAAGAGTTATGTTGTAAGAAAATTGATTGTGTAATGTTATAGAGATTCTTTTTGCGTGTCTTAGGTTTTTTTTTTTTTTTTCTTCAAAAAATGGAGACCCCACAAAATGTTATGTGTGTAGAAAACTTTTTTTTGTCTCATGTTGCATGATGAATGCAAACTCTATTATTATAAGGCTTTATGTTTTTCTTTTACCCTGGTTTGGGGCCATTGAGAACATGACCCAAATTAGTTGGAGGGGTTGGACATTGTTAAGATTTTTATCATTCATCATTACTGAATAATAATGAACCATAAAAAAGGCATAGGCAGGGTAGAGGTTGACCACAAATTGCTAGCTTTAAATTTGAATAGTTAGAAAGTAGAGAAATACTTTTAGGTGGGGGCATGAATTATGCATCATTGTGTAAATGTATAATGGACCCACTCTCACTTTGTAATAGAGTGTTTGATGAATTTAGTTACTTTTTTGGGTAGGTTGCATGGGACAGTTGGGGGAGTGACGTTGTTGGGAACACATGGAAAGTTCCTGAAGATTGTGGAGCTAACAAGATGGAAATGAAGGAACAAATGGGTTGGAAACTGGGGCAGAGAGAAGCAAGTGTTCTAAGATATAAGGAGAAGAGGCAAAACAGGCTTTTCTCTAAGAGGATCCGTTATGAAGTTCGCAAACTGAATGCTGAGAAACGGCCCAGGATGAAGGTACCATTGCATAATTTCATTGTTAGTATAAAACAATTTGATTGCTTCAATTCCGTTGCTATATAGCTTCACGCAGGTAATGTGCACAATTTACACATTAGTTTGTGCTTAAATTGAAGAAAATAGGTATTCCTCTTGGGTAAGACACTATCTGTGTCTGAATCAGGGGTGTAATGCCTTTCATGTTTGCCATAAGAAATGTTCAGACATAACGGTCATGGTTTGGAGAATGCATTGCCCTCCTGTGTTTGGGACCAAGTTGCCCTGCCTGTGTGTGGTGTGCCTACCGGTTCCAGCACCCAATGCCAAATCCCAGTTCAGAACAAAAATATTAATGTAAAAAAGGTGTTAGGTAAACATTTCCTTCTCCTTCCTTTTTCTCTCTTCCCTTTGTTGGAATCGACATAATCACACACACAATTGGTAGAGGGAATAAGAAGAGAGACAACTGTTTACCCTGGTTCACTTAATGTAGGCTACGTCCAGCATGTCTGAACTATATTCTTCTCACGATACTCGTTACAAGTCATTCGGTTTACAAGATGAATATAAATAGGATTGCAATCCCTAAACAACAACAGCTATTCATGGAACCCCGTTGGCTTTCTCTGCGTCCTTCTAATAGGTGTCGTCATCTAACTGCGAAGTATGAGCCATATCCAACACCCTTGGCTTTCATCTACTTGTTATTCTATTCCCTGCAACCTACCAATAAATAATTACTTCACCTATCATGTTCCTTGTTGTAGTGTCTATAGCAAGTGATCGTATATTTGTAGGTCATTCGGCTTCTCTTATGTCCAATGTCCACTCCCTTCAACAAGGCAAGAGGTCACCATCATTAATATCTCACAAACCATGTCAAATAACAACATTTGGCTGAATATTTTTATAAATAATTATTCAATCCAAAAGCTTAAGCAGTTACATGAAGGTCCATATCAATAACGGACTATTACACCCTCTGGCCTGTGCACATCATAACATACTATTACTCTGCCCAACCGTGACCGGACCTTCTTGCCTCACACTTTAGGCGCTTTCACAACAAAAATGGATTCTACAATAAGTTCCCAAGAGTTCTTCTGAAGATAGTTTATCATAGGTTACATTGTCATCAAAGCATTTTAATACAATTCGAATATCATTACATATTCCAGCAAATTATATGGTATCATGTTGACATTGTTACAACCCCGTGACACTTCAACTGCAGTATTAGAGTTGTTCTCAAGAATAAGTGGAAGAAATTACATTGACTGTATTAGAGATCTCATACAGTAGTGTAGTAAATTTTTCTGAAGAAAAAAAAATGCATTTTGATCTAGCTGAAATTAATGAGCACACTTAGCTTGATTCCATTAAATCTGTCACGAATGAATTTTATTTATTTAATTTTTCGATACATTCATGAATGTATTTTAAACACCATCTTCTATTTGATCTTGGTGGATCGTGGTTGATATAAAATCTGTGAACTAACTGTGTCTTTGGAGAAGACTGCCGTATATGGTGTGGCATATCACTATGCACAAACAAGTGTGTGTGCATATAGTGACAACTAGAGAAATTAGGGTAACACGTGAGATTTAACACTCTATTTATAGGGTTATACTTGCCACTATGGATAAAACCCATTCTCCAAGGCTGGAAGGGTACATTATATGGGAAATTCTTTTAGTGCTATGGATCTCGGTGCATCTTCTACTCATAATATGACACGTGTCTTACCTTTTATCAAATCATTCTGTCACACCTGATTTTAAAATAAATTATTTATTAATGATTTGACAAAAGTAAAATACGTGTCATATTGTAAGTGGAAGATGTACCGAAAATTCGGTACATCCGTGGCACTAAAGATATTCTCCATTATATGGGTCCGGATCATCTTCTATATTGAAAAGTAAAAGCGGACTACTAAACTGTAGTGCTATACTTCTTTGCATGTTTGTCTATTAAAACTGTTTAAAACATCTGAATTTTGTTGTCCTTCGTTCCTAGTCTGGAAATGCTGAACAATTTGGTGTACAGTAGTTCCAGAACTCAGTTTTAAATTGAATTTCTTTCTGTTGTTACATTTTGCAGGGACGATTTGTGAAGAGGGAATGAGAAGTGTAGACTGTGGCAGGCATTGTTCGTAATAAGAATGTTGTCAATAATAGAATTTTTCGTGCCTTTCTGTTTTTGGTAGAGTTGGGGTGCTTTCTTGGTAGAAATGTTGTAGATATAATTGTGCCATTTAAAGTCTCATTGGTACTACTTTGAAGTCCTGGGAAATTCAATGTTCAACTTCTGTACTAGCGCGACATGTAAGTGGCAGTTTCTAAACCTTAGATTGAATGAGATTGACAATGTTTTACATCTGTTTGATCCCAATCCAAGGGATTAGAAACTGTTGAACATGTTGTACAAGTACAATCAAATGTATTGGTTGCTCTGTACAAGAATGAAGTCTCACAATAAAAAAGTTTTGGAACTTCAAGCTCAGCTTATAGGAACTTTGTCCAAAGTTCCTATCTACATCTCTCATAATTGCTGTCTTAAATTAAAATAAAATTGAACTAAGCTCTATGAATGAATGAATGAATTTGTTCTCTAGTTCCGTTGGAAATTAAGATAATTTTCAATCTATTTTTTCTTAGTTAACATTAGAAATATATTTGTTTATGCATATGAGAGCAGAAGGGGAACGAACTAAAATAGGCAACTAGACTAATTTATTGATTCTCACTGATATTATTCTTTTTTATAATCAATTAAACAATCTCTTAATAATTTATTATTATGTTGTTATTATTACACTGAATTTGAAATTTGGCATTTTAATCAGTCAAATTTCTCTGATATTCGTTTCTCAAAATTTGTTTCCTTCCTTGATACCTTTGCTTGGGGAAATTCTTTATTTGTTCTAGAGTAATACTCTTAGACCATTAAAAGGAAAACACATGCAAATTTGGAATAAATTTATAAGGGCGGTTATATTTTATTATCATTTTTAGTTTTATTATTTTTATTACGTTGTTGTTGGATTAATTTGAAATTAATAGTTAAAAATAATAATTAATTATCATTAATTTTAAATTGATTCAATTTAAAAATAACCAAACAAGTACTAAAAATAATAAGATTAAAATGATAATAATTTTGACAAGAGGGTTAGTCTCAGCTGGGATGATATCTTATCAAGTTATCATTATCAGTCTGCTCTTTTGCCTTGGAGTCTCTTTGTGAATATAATGCGCTAACTTTAATTAGAGAGCGAAACTCCCAACGAGGTTTCAACGAAAAGAGCATTACAAAGTATGGTGAATAAACAGTTTTTAGTAGGGGTGATAAATAAATCACGGCTGCTCGAAGGCTTGAACTTATATGCGTAAAATTAGTTGTTGGAACCGGACTTGAACTTGTATAAAAGCTCGTTTAATAAAAAGGCTTCAGGTTTCAATTCAAAAGCTCGGCCTACAGCCTTTCAGGATGATCTAGTATATTAAATTCTATTTTATATTTTTTATACTACTTGTAATAGCTATCTCTCTCTCTTAAATTTATTTCACCCCAATTTATTGGTTGAACAGACTTATTGAATGATTTTGTTCTATATTATGATGTTTGGATATACATTGAATTTATGAATATTTATGAAATTACTTGTGATGTTGATTGCACATTCTATTTAGATAAATTTTTGTTGTCTTATTTTTTTAAAACAGGCTAAATAAGGCTTTAATATTTTGTAAATAAGTCAGGTCAAAGGCCGATAATTATATTTATAACAGGTTACAAGCTTGATTAGCCTGAGACATTTAAACATAGACTTAACATTTTAAGACCGAAGCTCAGCTCGGCTCGGCCCGTTAACAGCCCTAGTTTTTTGCATCTAAAATTAATAAAATAGGCTGTTTGAAATCTGTTTTTAAAACTAGTTTTCTGATTTTCAAAAATAAAATAAAATTGTTTTATAAGGCCTGTTTTATAAAAATTGTTCTAAAAATTATAACTATCTTTTAATTTTTAGAATGTTATCTAAGTTATTTTTATTTTGTGTTTTTATTTTTAACAATCAAAATAAAAAAATATAGAAAACACCTATTTTATTAACTATTTTATAAAACAATTTTAAGAACAAAATAAAATACAACATAATCAAACAGGTCCTAATTTCTTGTTTAAAAAACTGTTTGTATAGTAAAAAAATACAATTTTGTTAAATTGTTTTTAATTTTTATCTTAACTGACAAGATGTTTAAAATTTCAGTGATATATATATATATATATATGTATATACGCTTTACTTTTACTTTTTTACTAAAAAATTGAAATGATTTTAGTGTTCATTGCTATTTAAATCCTCTTTCACATTATTGAAACTAAAATTATGGTCCCTTCCCTTAACCCATGGTCATCATAACCTAACCCAAGCTAAACTCTAACCCAAGCCTTCCATGCTTTACACAGGCCTCCAAAATATTGGGAAATGCCTTCTTGATTCCTCTTCCTCCTATTGGGCTTAGGGTGGTCAATCTAAGGCCCAATAACATAATTTTGGCCGAATAACCGTAATTTGGCCCAAAATCACTTTTGGCTTGTTGGTCTTATTTAGTTTGGTTCCTCATAATTCTTCTTAGGTCTATTTTCACTCCTTTAGGCCTCAATCCTTTAAATCCTATTAACGGCTTTCGTTCTTTCTAAGCAGATTCTCCTTCATGATCCAATGGGATTTTTCCTAATGATATTTATATCTTTTGTAATTTTCTTATTATTGTTCCTAAAATTTTTGGAGATGTTTCAATAATCAATATTGATATTGTATTTAGATTTTAAAGACTTGGGCATAGTTAATTGTACTTGGGATAACACCTGTCTAAATAAAAAACATGAAAATCTCCATCCACTAATTAATATGCTGAAACCCCCGTGATCCAAGTTTTGTTATGAAGTAAAATGTATCAAAAGTGAAAATAGTACCATTACCATACTTGCGACAGGAAGTTCCTACCAAAGAATTTATGTTGCCCTTAGGTTAATGAAATGAATAACAGTCCTTGCTTTTAATGAGAAAGAATTTGAAGAAAAGAGGATCAGTCCTTCAAAATTCAACCTTGGGAACTTTTTTAATATTTTTTTATTTAATAAATAAGTGGCAAAGAAGGATAAAGATTTCAACAACAAAGAGATAACCAGTAAGCATGGATGCAATAAGCATCCAGACAAGTCTTAAACAAGATTTTTTTATTTTTTGTTGCTTAAAAGCTGTAAGCACTAGAGTATACTATGATCAGAGGACTTTGTAAAATATCGAATTTCCTATGTATGATGTATAATAATTCTATGTTAGCAAGGTGTCTAGAAGAACAGAACAAATCATGCGTGTATTGTTTTAAGGAAACAATATAAATACGAAGATGGCACACAGTGTTTGTCTGTGATGTGTCTTCCGTGTATAATTTGTAAGGCAGTGTACTAGATTGCAACATATATATGGCAAGCTGGTAATATATTTACATATATATAGCTGCAGGTTATGGGAAAATAAATAAACTAAGAGAAATTATATCCTGAGAAGTGAGAAATATGCATGTTATATTTCAGTGACTATCTAGCTAGAAAGAAACTAGATATGTTGACAGAAGAAGAGAGAGCACAAAACTGCTCACACACAAAGCCTTTTGGGTATGTTCAGCTGTGCTCTCTATCTTCTGTCAGCAAGCCATCTCATGTCCTGAATCCTTCGCCGTCTCTGCATACAATACAAAAGTAATCTATTCATTAGGATTAGGATCATTAGCTCCCTATAGCAGGGGAAAAAGTAAAGGGATATAATACCATTGCACAAGTTGGGGCATACGGGGATTTTGAATCTCACATAAAATAGAACCCAAGAGAAGATTGAGAGCACAAGTTGGGGCGTACGGGGTGTTACACGGCTGGTCCACTCTCTCTGCCATTCTTTAATTAGATGGCCTTGCATGCTTTCATTCGTACCATTCTTGGTATCTCTGTGTCACTTGGGAGTGGTCCCAACAAGGGTCTATTGCTTAGGGCTGAAGCTAGCTGCCCTATTTGAATTTCTATGCTTCTCAACATGGCTCCTTACTTTGGGGGATGGCTGCCTGGTTTAGAAGTATTTGACCATGGCCTTGCACCACTTGGTTATTTTTTACCATATACTCCTTCATTCACCGGTCATTCTTTGTTATATAGTCTTTCATCCACTATTCAATTGGAGGAAAGTTAAAAGTGCAAATAAAGAAAAAGCTCGGCTCGGTTAAGTCCTTTACCGTTAATCGTAAATGAAGAAGAAGAATAAGAAGCAAGCTAAAATAAACGACGTTATAGTTCCTATGCTAACAATACACTCAACGGCAAGGGAGGAACATAGAACAACGTGCAGGTCTTCTTCCATCTTTTCTTTGTCACGGTGTAGAAACACATATATCTACGTACACATGATATAATTTTTTTCCCTAATAAACTTATATATAACGTTCAAGAAATATATCTTAATCTTAGTATTATTAAAAAAATTCATAATGAAAATATGAAATTTATGATTTTATTATTATTATTATTATAACAGTCCAGTTTTGATAAATATATATATATATATATATATATATATATATATATATATTAAATAGTGTCGATCTTATGATCCGTGCCAATTTTACGATTTACGATTTTTTTATCCCCTTTTAATTTTAAGTAAGATCTCGATTTTAACAACCTTGCCTATACCGGTAATGTTATCTCTTAAGTAACACACCTTGGTTGGAGGAAAGAATCTCGTGAGAAATGCCTCCTCTAACTCCTTCCAAGTGGAGATTGATTGAGATGGAAAAGTTTCCATCCACTCCTCTTTTGCCCCTCTCAAGGAATAAGGAAAGAGCTTCATCCTCATTGCTTCTTTGGAGACACCATGAACAGAAAAAGTATCAGAAATTCATGAATTTGGTGATGTGCTCATGAAGGTCTTCATGTGGCAGCCGATGGTATTGAGTTATGGATTGTAGGAGCTGAATTATACTAGGCTTTTCAAGTCAAAGTTCATGTTAGAGAAGTATATAAACCATTAATAGGTCTTTAATTAACAATTTAAACTTTTACGTTGAATTGGTTCTTTATAAATCTAATTGTTAAAATTTCAAAAGAAACAAAATTAAACACCGCTCCCAGTAACAATGCCATTTTGTTAGAATGCAATTTTTACAGAAATTCAAATGTTTTGATCTAGTGCTAACAAGCACCACGGTAGTATATGCATTCAAAGGTGAAGATTGTTCCACCAGGAACAGTGAATCTAGTTTCTTTTATCTACTCTATCTTAGTTTCTTGAACTCTAAGTATTCAACTTTTAAACTACAAATTTACCCACTAAAACTGTGAACCAGATTTTTATCACACAAGATTACTCTAATCACGTTCAGAACAATTAAGAAAATCCAGTCTTTTTGGCATCATCTTCTATTCAACATCGATCTACTTTTATTTTAATCAAATCTTAATTACTTTTTATAATTTATACAATTTCTGAAAAATAGATATATGAAGTATTTTTCCAAGACACATAATTTTCTAACAAAATTAACTTCCATTCCACAACAAAAGCGCAGGGATGATTTAGTGTTTCTTATAATTTACTTTTCTTGGGATTTCAACTAATGCTTTTATTATTATTATTATTATTATTATTATTATTATTATTAAAACTTGATTGAACTGTACCTTCTGGGCCAAACAAGCTCAACTTTAAAACCTTAATCTACCATCTTTTCTCAAGAAATTGTGCCAACCTATGTTGCACCGACACTGACATGGGACACAGGATACGACACGATACGCCACTTCGACATGTTAATTCCAAAAATGTTAAATTTTGATACGTCAGGACATATTTTGATAATATATAATATTTTTAATTTATGTAGTAGTGTATATTATATTTAATATTCAATAATTTAACAAAAAAATAGAGCTAAACTTATAATACACATTAATTTTGCAAAGAGACATAATATATCTCACATGTTTATTTTAAACTCAATAAAATTGTAATCGTAATCTAACGAATCTAATACTTGGAATTCAAAATGCAACGCAAAGTAACCTTTGAACCTTTTTTGAGTCTTTGCAACGAGTATTGGAGTATCGGAAAGTGTTGAAGTGTCGGTGAGTGTTGAAAAATGTCGAACATGATACGTCAGAATTTTTGAAGTGTCGGTCGAATGATTCAACCAATAGATAAGTACATAATTAAGTTCCAAATCTAAGACCATTTAAAAAATAAAAATAAAAAATCCATCATTAAATTAAACTTTCTCTAACCTTTCTTTTGGTGGACGTTAGGACTAACTAACAATGTGTTTGATTAATTAGTCATACACTTATAGTGAGACAAGGATTGGCCTCTTAATCCAAGAAGCTTCTTCTCCTTCGTAGCTGGATCCTCAAACAGAAGAACTTTGTCCTTGTCTCTAACCCCAACCATGTGTAGATATTCATTGTCATCTCTCTCTTTACCCCTGAAGAGAACCCTTTGCTCTCTGGGCTCCAAAGTTGTTACCAGTGACAGAATCATTTTTAATTCTCCTGCAAGTTATGATTAGTTCACAACTCTTGTCAAATACCCACTTTAGATTATCTCTATAATGTGAAAATTAAAATTTTGGGTTATAAATAACCATTAATATCATCTTACACAAAAATTAAAAAAATTTAGATTTTGTTTTTTTGTTTTTTGTTTTTTGTTTTTTTGTCATTTCAATTTCTAACCAAAATTACAGAGTCATTATGAGAAAGGGATGAGGATGACTTACCAAAAGTTGATGTGGCTTCAATAGAAATGTCATGCAATTGTGACACGGTTGACACCATAATTGTGATCATTCTTTCCCCTGCACTTTGGTTGTTTTCCCTTTTTTGAACAAGCATTCCACCAGGCCTAAGTTCCCATTTGATTTCTCCATTGCTTCTGCAACCATTTTCTGTGAGTTGTGCAGCTTTATTCCCATTTCCAAGCTTGGAGCTGCTTCGGCTGAACCTCATTGACCTTAACTTGTTCATCTTTCTTTGTTTCTTTCTCTTGTCTTTCTTAGAAGAACCAAAAAGTGAAGGAAAGCAGTAAGAGAAAATGATGCAGTTGGGGCAGTTATATAATACTAGAAAGCGTGCATAAGGATAAAAAAACCATGAATAAAATACAAGGTTCCCTTGTGGTTCTAAAAAGTAAGACTCGAGAGCAAGAAAGCCAATAAGTTCTGAACACATGGAAGACAATTTAGGCGTTGTTTTTTCTGCTGATTTTGTGGGCTATGGCACATGGGTAGTGGGTACCTAAGAACACGCTTGCTTGATTGGCGGGCCAAACTCGATGCATGTCAATAGCTAGGTTGTTCTTCTAAGTTTAAATGCAATTTTTTAATCATGGTAAATGATAGCAACACAAACTATTACTATAATGAAACCTAAAAATAAAAATAAAATCAGCGGTGGAAAATAATAAGGGGAATTTTTTTTTAAATAGCTGATGTTTAAATGTCTGTCTGTATAACTAATTCTGCGTATTGTTACCAAGGATAAATGTTGTGTCAAAAAAAAAAAAAGGATAAATGTTTGGGAAAAGTTCACCAGTACCCTTGTGGTTTGCTTCAGAATTACTTATGCCCCTGTGTTTTTTTTCTATCACATATGCCCCTGTGTTTTGTAAAAAAAAAAAAAACCACAAGGGCATATGTGATAAAAAAACATACCCTTTTGCAAACCACAGGGACATATGTGATAGAAAAAAAACCACAGGGGCATAAGTGATTCTGAAGCAAACCACATGGACATTGGTGAACTTTTCTCTAAATGTTTCTATAGGAGATACTTAAGAATATGGAATATAAATATTGTATATTATAATTGTACATGAGATTTCTCTATTTATAAAAGTTAAATGACCTAATAAGTTATATTTAAAGAAGCTTAGACCTAACCCAAATCTTAAATTAAGATAATGGATGTACCCAGTACATGAAAATTTAGAATACACATAGAATAGCAAGAGGCAAACCAGAATTTATTTAATCGGTGTACCCGGTACATTAGGACCACATTGATGAACCGTAACTCAAAGTGAGTGTCCGTATGGAACTTTCAAGAGCATTACCTCTTAGAAAGAATCCTCAATGGGAAGTCCATATTAATATTCTATAAGCCAATGAACCTACTCAGTCAATTCATAAGTATAATGGCTAAACACACAAGCACATTATATTAAGCACCCAATTGCATATTAGTTCATACACTAATAATACAATCTAGCCTCTAGTGCTTGTTCAATGGTTCGTATACCAAGAGCAACAACTTTTACATGAATGCATTTACACCATGACTGTAAAAAACCAATAATACTCCAAGGAGTATGATAGAACACTAAGTGAGATGTTGCGACTCGGCAAGTGCACCGGTCGTTAAGTAATAAAGTGTACCAGAGTACGAGATCGTTCCCACGAGGATTGAGTTTCAAACATTAGTTCGCTAATTGCAGTTTAGTTGGACAATTAATATTTAGATGAAAGAAATTTAATTAAAAAGGAATTTAATTAAAAAGCAATGAAGAAGATGAGTTGATTTAAGGATTAAAAACAAGCGTAGTTAGGGTTTCAACTTCCCCCAATCTCCTCTTTATGCAATGAATTAAATTGTCAAGAATCTGTTCATAAATTATTGTCAATCAATTCTTTCTAAATTAATTAGGGCTCAATTCCTTGTTACCTTAAATCTATGTGATCTTAGAAGAACCCTAGTTCCCTGATTATTCCCCAAGAAAACATGCATTAAGATCAAGAATTCACGATTGCACAATTACCCTATGTCTATCTCTAGATTACAAGGATTATGATAAATTTACCAAGTCAGAGTTCATGCACCAACATCCCTATTTTCATACAATTTCCCGAAATCAATATATAAGGAGCAAACTTATAGAAAGCATTAAAGACAGATAAATTTATTCAAATATTGAAAGAAAAGAATTCAGAGACAATTTATTTCAAAATATAAGATTCTATTGAGTTCCATCTACCCCTAACTACATAAAAGACTAGCCTAGCATACTGAATTCAAAAGTAATAGAAAAGAAAATAGTTCCCTAAGCCTTCATTGGTGTGATGTTGACTTGGTTCCTCAGTGCTCCAATACTCCGTAACAGGATTCCTCCTTGTGCTTCTTCAGACGCCTCTCCGTTGTTGAATGAATGATCCTCAATTGGTCCAAGGCCCTCTATTTATAGAGGAGAATATATCTTTTTGATTTCTCTTCTAATCTTCCTAAAATTTGGTTCACATCTTGATTAAGATATAAAATATTCCTTGGGCCCAAAATTGATCGAATCAGCACGTTTTAGTGCCTATTAGGAAGGCTAAAACGCTCTCTTTGCCTATTTTTGTCTACCTTAGGGCATTTTAGTGCTCTGTTGGGCGCTAAAATGCCCTCTTCGAAGGGAAATTTGTTGTTGTTAGCGCGTTTTAGCGCGCTGTTAGGCGCTAAAACGCGCTCCTTCAGCTTGCAAATACTTGTAACTTGCTTTCTTTTTGGCTTTCTTCGGTATTCAATCATCTCCTTGCATTCCTTTTGCTCCATAAAGCATTTATTGATGTCAAAATACCTTCAAATAAGAAATATTACAAGATGTTAGCTAGAGATTCAATCTTTATGATTTTATGATGTAAAATCCTAATTTCCATGCAATCCATGATCTATTTCTTGTATAATTTAGCCTAAAACTATGGTAAACCAAGGGTTTATCAAACATTCTCAGATTTGAATATTGATGTCCTCAGCAATCAATCAGAATAGACTAAGGGAGGTTGAAGAAGGAATTTTCAATTGTATGGAATTTGATAGGAAGGATTCAATCAGAGACATGATTACAGAGCATTCAGACTTAAAAGAATGATGCATCAATTAGCAAGATTCATAATTCATCAGTTAAAAATTTCGATGAAATTCCTTAAGATCAAGAATAAGGAAAAGTTTCTGAAACACTAGAAATTCACTTCACTCACACTCAACTGTTTAAAGGGTTGGTGTTTCACTCTTCTTCCACTGAATCAACACTACCATAGGCTTGCTTATATTCTTGCTCTCCACATTCTGACCCTGCTCTCTCTTAGCTGGAGCAGAATATAACACCTCGTATTTCTAAAACATATAATTAAATATGAAAATAAGGATTAAAGGGGTAGGATTAGTGAAAATCCTGAAATTAAGGCCAAAATACAAAGGAAGGGTAAAACAGTAATTAGCCAAACACGTAACCCTAGGAAAGTAAAATTGAGTAGGAGGTCTCAAATGAGAAAACTAACCCTGGAAATGGATTCAGAACGAAAAATTGAGTGGTTAGGTAAGTTTATGAAAATTTGACGAATAGTGTTTTTACCAGGTAAAAATACTGCAGTATAGTTGCACCGTAAAGCGTTCCAAATAAAATTTTGAGCTCTAGGTTTGGATATAAGTTATAAATGGTACATAGGACTAGGAAATATGATTTCTGGTGAAAATTGATAAAAATTAGTGTGTTTTGGGGAAGCGTGCCCACGACGCGCATAATAGCTTAAAACTGCGATTTCTCTGAATGACCGGAAACTCCGAATTCATCTGATCAAGGGTAATTAAAGGACAATGGTTAATGTTAAAAATTAGAGTTTTTAATTAGTTTAGGAAATTATGAACGTTTAGCGGAGTAGGAGGGAAATTCGAATTAGCTTGAAATCGCGTGATGTGGCGGTGGGCCCACCTCACTTAAGTGGACCTTGCCACCTTGGACAACACAAATTTCTGGTCTTTCTCTCTCCTCCCTCCCACACAACCTGCGGCCTCCATTGTTGGAGAGGAAGCTTGGCTTCAAAAACTTCAACCAACCATAACTCTCTCCATACTTTCCCAAATCAAGAAAAGTTTGTGAGCAAAGTTGTTGGAAATCATCATCCAAACACAACCATGGTATTATTGAGCCTTGAAACTCGCTAGATTGGGAGAAATGTGACAATTTCAGCCACGAAATTTTGAGAAGATTTGGTGTTCTCGAGTTGTTTGATCAAGCCATTGCTTGGATATCACTTGGAGGAGTCTTAGGCCTTGATTGGGGGTAAGTTTCCACACTTTTTATTGGTTGAATCATGAGTTTTAAAATTGATAACCTAAGAGGGGTTGTTTGATTGATGTAGTTAGAGAGCTCAAATTGAAATTGTGTATTAGACAAATGTGGCTTAGAATGATGTTTTAGAGTGATTGATGTCATAAAAATTATTGATGAAATTTGGATTATAACTAGGGAAATTTTGAGTTGTGATTCCATGACTTTGTGAAATGGATATGTTGTGGGATTGTGTAATTGAGTTGTGGGGTATTTGTATGAGTTAATTATAGGATTATATGATGTGTGGAAGTGTTGAATTGAATTTAAAACCTTTGAGTATGAATCCATGTAGAATTCGGCCAAGAGAGGGCTATATGGGTTGGATGATGCAAAAAATTATGTAAGTGATGTATTTTGGTGTTAAATGGTGTTTGGAGGTGTTGTGTGATGGGTTAATGCATTGAAAATTAAAGGAAAAATGCTTGGAGTTTGTATGATGTGTATTTGAACCTAGAATGGAATAATTGGTAAAATAGTGTTGTGATGGTATAGGATGGAAAATGGGACTTGAGATGGTGTGGTGGTAGTCTTGGTATGCTAAAGAAAAATTAAAATAAAATATAGAAAAATATTTTGTAAAAATGGCCTATAATGGCCGAACCTTGCATGTGGGAGGGTGAGAATTTGGTGCCTTGTAATCTTGTTGATTGCACCTTGTATTGATGGTCCTCGTGTGATCATTGTAGGTTGCCTCCCGCAGAATTGAACTCGGAACCGTGAGCTTGGTGGGTTGCCTTTGATCCCGGACCAAAGGAATTTTGGTAAGTGGTCTAGAACCTATGCATGTATAATTGATGAAATTGCATATATCTTGGTTGATTGATATTGAAATGGAAATGACTTATGTGTAGGCATTTCTGGTGAACCAAGCTCGGTGATA